GTAATACTGGGGAAAAGTCTTTTTGTGTGTTTGTGTGCGGTATGGATGCAAAAACTGAAAGAAATTGTTATTCATTAGCAGAACAATGACTGTCCCAAATATGCCTAAAGTAATCTGCTTTAGGCCGGCATAACATTCTTTCCAAAACAAAAATGGAAATCCTGATTAAGTGCCAATGTCTACACCCATACAAATTCTTCAGGAAAAAAAAAATGCCAGTTGTGTAATTGTGATCCATTACAAAATGCAATTTTCAAGCTTTTCCCCCTGTAACATTCCGCTCTTGGAAAGCGATTTAACCAATTCATTGCCTGATGTAATCTTGAACACACACACACACACAACACAACACACAACACAACACACAACACTGCCCAAGAGCTCTGATTACACAAGTACTTCTCGACTTACAATTTGTTTAGTGACCAAAGTGCTGTAGCTTTGTCCAAATAAATCCGTTGCTGTAATAAATCCAACACATGGACTTAGAGCTGTTTTTTTCACACTTACGACCGTTGCAACATCGGAAAGCACCAAGGACACCCCAAATGCAGCATGATGACCAAAAAGATGAGTAGCTGTTGCCTTGTTTCCCTGAAAATATGACCTACCCTGAAAGTAAGTCCTAGCTTGATTTTTACACATGCACCCAATATAAGCCCTACCCCCCAAAATAAGCCCTAATTAAGATCCTGCCCACTCCAGAGGTTAGTCAGTGGGAGACATCCCCCGAAAATAAGATCTGGTGCCTTTTTTGTGGCAAAAAAATTATAAGACAGGGCCTTCTTTTCAGGGAAACACGGGTAGGTATTTCCATCACAATTTTTCCCCTCCACCAAATTTCTACATCTCCTTCTACCAAATCAAAGCTCAGAAATAAGCAATTTAATGCATCTATGATTTACGGGATCTGTCTTTATTATTAACACTTTCTGAGGTTCTTTTTGAAAGTGGTAGTGGGAACTGGGAGAAGACTCCCAACTTTTGTCCAAAGGCTGGACTTTCTTTGTAGGCACCAAATATTTTCAAAGGCATAAACCAATATTTAGCCACTTATTGGGAATGTTAATCCAGGGCCAAACTGAGACAGGAGCCAAGGGGCATACAGTTCAGCCCTTCAGTTTCACCTCTGCTATTTCCTACTATTATTCCTGACTATTAGTCCTACTCCCTTACTACACCCTGGGCTATAAATGTCTCAATTCCCATCGGAATAGTGTAAGGAACTGAAGTCATGCCGTAAATGTCTCTCGACCCGTCAAAGAAAATATAAGCCCCAAACAAGAAATTCCTTTTCTCCGGAAACTATTTCAAAGTGGGGAATTAAAACAAAAACAAAAATACCCTGCCAAAGACAAATAAATCATTCTGTGTCAACCACGTCTCTCCGGACTTCAAAGTTTGAGCAAAAGTGGTTGCTTTTGCCACAGAGTTAGATTTCAATTCAGATCTTTCTCGGCTGTGACTATTTTTGAATAAGTTCAAATTCTGCCTCCACGCGTCCCCCCGCCCCATGTGTTTTAGTTCCATCTTCACCCTCTTTGTCCATTTCACGGTTAACTTTAACGCTAAAAAAAAAGCCAACACAACATACGCGCACACTTCAAACCCAAGAATACTACACTGAGGTAGAATCTTGTCCACCCCAAGGATAAAATACCCAGAGACAAACTGAGCAACGTGGTATATGCAGTACAAAGCAGTGAGATATATGCAGATCTGTACATTGAGGAAACAAAACAACCACTTCACAAACGCATGGCACAACATAGAAGAACAAACATGTGATGACCCAGGGTGTGGTACAAAAGCAACAAAGTCACAAAAGTAGGTAAAGTCCCTTTAATACCTCCAACTTGGCCCCCAATGTCCAGTTATCATCGGCTGGAGAGAAAACTCTCCCAAGAACAGTTTTTAAAGGGAAGAAATTCAGTCTGAACCCAAAGTACATAAAAATTATAAATAAAAACCCAACACAAGCCAGACTGCAGCAATTAACGAGACAGGGCAGGAAAAGGAATTGCAGACTTCAAAAGATAACGAGGCACACACAGTTGGGAAGACACCAGAACCCAGATAAGACTTGACAAACAAAGATAATACATACTTTGCTTCCAGCAAGGTGCTGTGCGCAAATGCCCTTTTTAAATCCTCTTTTCCCAGCTGCAGCTAATGAAGGGAATCAGGGCCCTTTCTTCCCCCGTAAACCATGCAATTCACGTTGCTCCCTTCTCCATTCCTCCCTGTGTGCCCTAGGATGAAGAGATGGCCAGCTGGACTGTGCCCTTCCCCAGTTTCCTCCACAGCCACCGGAGCCACACTCCCACTCCGTCAGCTGCTCGACCTCCCCCTCGGAATCAGATTCCAACAGGGGCATGACAAAACACATCAAGACTAATTCCATCTGCATTTAAAAGACAAAGGACACTCTTTTGAAGACAGCAAAGTCCACATTTTGGACAGAGAGGACCTCTGATTTCAAAGAGGGGGTCAAAGAGACCATCTATGTCCAAATTGAACAGCCCTCTCTCAACAGAGGGTGAGGGGCACGACATCCTCTATCTCCAGTCTACAACACAGTCCTTTCAGCAGTTCCAAGAAGGCTCCACACCCATTTGCACCACTCAGGTGACCCTAAGGACACAGATAAACCTCCAAGCGGCCTCAACGGCCCTCTAAAAGGATGCAAATGACCAGCTGTCTGCAAGGAGCATAAATCCTTCCCTTCCCCACAATCTAGTCAGAGCTGAAGAAACTCCTTGGATGAGAAGCGAAATGTCTTCCAAGAAAAACCAAGAAAGTCCAGTGGCCTCTTGAAAAAAAAAAAAAAGCACCTTTAGGACAGCCATGATCTGGATGATTTGAGAATTTCCACATACATTTATACTAATATTTATTACACAGAGTCCTGGACATACAACCACAAATGGGACTGGAGTTTCTAATGATGAGCAATTTACTTCAATTAAAACCGAGAATCTCACTTTAGCTTGGAAAGTTGGAACCCGTTTTGAAAAGGCTGCCGAAAATCGATGGGAGCAAGCCCCTATTTCATAACAACATTTACCACTTTTTTTCTTTTTCTTTTATGGCATGGGGAAGAGGTTGCCAAGAGAAGCAAATGTTCCAAAATGCCTCTGTCAGAATGGAAGAAATCAGAGCCGGTACCCCTTCTCGGAAATCGTGTACAGGTTAAGTCCTCATTCTTACGATCGCAATGGAGCCCAAAATTTCTCCGGCAAAGTGAAACATCGGTTAACTAAATTTTCTCCCATTTTGCAACCTTCCCTGCCACAGTGGTTAAGCGAATCACTGCAGGTGTTTCAGTTAGTGACAGATTGTTAAGGGAACCTGGCTTCCCCATTGAGTTTGCTTGTCAGCAGGTCTCCACCACCACCACCCCAAAAAAAAAAGATCACATGATCCCCAGAATCATGTCGTCAGAACTATCGGTTCGGCGAACCGGATGTAAAATTAGCATCTGGTTCGCCTGAACTGGTGCGAACTGGAAGCAGCCCACACCTATCCTTAACTTATGACCAGAATTTCTGTCAGAAATTTGTGAAGTGAGAAATTTGTGAAGTGAGAAATTCCTGAAGTGAGAAATTTGTGGCGTGAATCTTGCTCTATTTTACAACCTTTCCTGCTGCAGTTGTTCAGCGAATCGCTGCAGTTGATAAGTTAGTGACCCGATTGTTAAGCAAATCTGGTTTCCCCATTGATTTTTGCCAGTCAGACGGTCACAAAAAAGGGATCACATGATCCCCAGTATTCTGCACCCGTCATAAATACGAGCTGGTTGCCAAGGGTCCAAATTTTGATCACATGCCCATGGGCAGGTTGCAATGGCCGTTAAGTGTGGAAAATGCTGACATCACTTTTTTCAGGGCCGTTGTAACTTTGAACGGTCACTAAATGAGCCATTGTTAAGTCAAGGACCGCTGTACTTAAGTACCCTTGGATTTAGAAATGATTAGGAATAAAGTATCAAATAAAGGAGGGGAAACGGGTTTGAAAGAGCAGCACGGCAGCTTGGAAACCGAGAGTGCATTCCATAAATAGTTTTTCAAAGATAGTAACTAGGTGACTGAAGTTTTTGCCGTACAAAATTCTAACTGGTGAGCACGATTGATGACTCTGGGCTATGGATGTGTCCCATTGGAGAATATGAATTACGATACACCCAGAGGGTGGGGGGGAAATCAGGGTCAAGGGTGACAGTGAATGATGTATCTCAGAGTCAGCTACACCCAGGCACTGCCGGACATGTTAACTCCCAATAAATCCTTTTGAAGTTTTGGAAGTTTGGCTCGAGACTCATGATTTAAATGGGGGTAACTGCCGGAATCCTGACATAAAGCTTTTTAGCTTTTAATTATCTTAGAATGTACATTTATATTCTAAGAGTAATAAATGAAAGGAACAGAAAAATATATAGAGATGGCAGGAAAATCATTTTGTTCATCATAAAAGTACATTCCCATACTCCTAATGATAATAATGTAGAAAACAGATGTTTAATTGACCAGGTCTTATATCTTCCAAATATTTGTTCAGTAATCCATGACTGCAGAAGCCATAGTATATTCCATGACTGCAATGAGCCATATTATTATAGTATATTCTATTTTGGCTTAGAGTTTTTGTGTGATTCCAATAGCTATCGTTCATTTTGTAATATCTCACACAAACCCAGCTAGGTTTATTCACTAAATGAACTACTTTAAGTGAAGGGCGACCTATAAAGAATAAAGGAAATATCTAAGAATTTTGTTTCCTGATGGTCGTATCACAAGTTAAAAAAAAAAAACCAACTACCTTTGGGACGGAAAAAAGATCAAAGGAAGCGAGCCAAATGACAACAATAATTGGATATTTTTCTCAATGAGGCTACCCAGGTTTAATAGATGTGTTTGTGTTACCTTTTGAGAACACATTTCTGGCAAAACACAACACGGAAGTAAAACGACAACTGAAGGATCTCACTTACAGATACTCACCAGTCCTGCAATGGGAGTTGGCGATCTGTTGATCTTTGTGACCAAACCGGGCAATATAGAGTTCAACAACCTGTCACAAGAAAGGAGAGTGGCAATATTATCATCGGTCACACACACATGGATTAGAAATGGTTTCTTCTACGCACACCACACCTCTCTTCCCAAGCCTCAAAGCTATTGACTTGGGATAACAACAACAAAAGTTTACAAAAGCTGGCAAACACGATTGTGCAAGTCAAGATCAGTATCTACAAAGCTCTTGAGAACTTGGACTTCCAATATCTCCTCAACTGGAAGTGTGATGAATAGAAGGCATGTGTCCAATTTGGGACAACCTATACAACGCCCACCTCTGGCCAAACAAGACAACTTTCCTTCTTATACAGGCAAAAGTCTTTGTTCTTAGTTCTCTAATTACCTTGTAAATCTCTAGTCATGTAATCTAACTATCTGTAAAACTCTAGTCATGTAATCTAACTAAGATTTACATCTTCCCTGCAACAGATAGATATTTTTCTGGCAGTGTTAATTTTTCTCCATTGTCTCCCTAATTGACCATTGTGTGTGAATTGCCTTGACAGTTGGAGATAGAGATAGTGATGTGCCAATTTCTGGAGGAAATAGGGGTGGCATTTTTGGAAGGATTCATGAAGGATTTATATAACAGGACCATATACTTGATACAGGAGGAATGCAATTGATTGCAGGCATCTGTTTAACAATGAGTAAATGCATAAGGAAATACGTTCACAGCAGGTTAACATATATTTTTCAAGCGAGCAAATGTCTATAGAGTAACTTTCTATTTAATGCTATAATATATTCTATTACATTTATTTATTATTACTATTACTATTATTACTATTCCCTTCAATAAAAAGGACTGTGCAAATAAACATAGTAAAGGAAATAAATTATTCATGTGTTAACTTGAGCCAGAATTGTATTTGCACAAAATTGGAAAAGTGAAGAGATTTCTACTGATGAGAATGTGATTAGGAAAATATTAAGAATGTGCAGAAATGAATAGATTAACGCTTGCAATTAAGGAGAAAGAACAAACTGAATGTTATATGACATGGGAATTATTTTATCGATGGTTAGAGAAGAAAAATGGAAGCTAGAAATAAAAGGAGATCAGTGAAATATAGACAGTATGTCAAAATAGAGATGACTGATTGATATGACTATTAGGTTTCCTATGCCTAATATTATTATTATATTCTTATTAGAAGACATGTTAAGAAGGAGAAATGAATAGGTTTACTACTATATACAATATTATTATCATAAGATTAGAAAATTAATACCAATACAATGTACACTGCGTTAAATTTTGATTGTTATTGCACAGAGATATTTGCATCCATGCAACACACTGTTTAATGGAAGATGGAATGTTTATATTAAAAAATAAAAAAATAAAAGATAAAATAAAGAGGACTGTGGACATTCTCTACTGAACTACCTTACCAGGCTCTGAAAAATGTACTGAAAGAAACATCAATGTTTGCTTCTAGCCATTTTATTATGATTGTTGTTTTGCACCATGGTATTTAACGGAGAGAAAGAAAATAAATTCTTTGCAAGCTAACTGCAGCTTTTTTGGTATGGGGCGATGAAGCCTCGTATGAATGATGTGTTGCATTCTGGGTCACTTACACTTAAGTTCACCGCAATAATTTACACATAAGGTTACTCATTCTAAGGTTACTCATTCGAGGTGCACTGGGGAAAAGTATGTCAAGGTTTATCAGCCAAAGCTGATGAGTTGACCTTGCATGCCACTGAGGTCGCAGAGTTATCCAACTGCCAAAGCTGGATTAGGAAGGAGTTCTATGTTGTAAATCTTACCCTCAAGTCCAAGAGGGTCCAATCTCAGAGGTGCCTCCAATTCTAGAAAGCCACTCTTGGAAACTTATACCCAGTGCTATATAATCTTTTAGTATTGTTGACGGTATATGCCCGTGATGGTGAACCTATGGCACGCTTGCCACAGGTGGCACACATAGCCATTTGTCCCGACATGCGAGCTGCAGGCAAACTTACCTCACTGCGCATGTGCGCGCCTCACAGCTGATTTTTGGCCGGTTTGAGGCCTTTTTCGGCCTCCTAAAGGCTTGAGCAAGGCTTCTGCAGGCTTTGCAGGCCCATTTCATCACTTCCTGTTTTTCCGAAAATACCAGAAGTGACTAAACGGGGCTAATTTTTGGCCTGCAGAAGCCTTCCTCAAGCCTCTGGGAGGCTGAAAAAGGCCTCAAACCGGCTGAAAATCAGCTGTGAGGTGCAGTGCAGGTAAGGGGGCAGTGGGGGTGGGTAGGAGGGGATTACGCGTGCATGTGTAGGGGGCATGGGGGTGCATTGCCTTCTGGGTGCTGGCACGCGAGCGTGCAAGTGCGCGCACAATTTTTGGCACAGGAGCCCAAAAAGGTTAGCCACCACTGGTATATGCAGTACAAGGCAGTGAGCCATATGTAGATCTGTACATTGTGGAAACAAAACAACCACTTTAGAAATGCATGGCACAACAATCTTGTTCTCCCATGTCCCATCAGGACAAGATTCAGCAGTCCACCTGCATTTAAAAGATAAAGGCCATCCTTCTGAAGACAGAAAAGTCCACATTTTGGACAGAAGGACCTCTGGTTTCAAAGAGGGGTTGAAGGGGCCATCTGTGTCAAAACTGAACAGCCCTCTCTCAACAAAGGGGAAGGGATACAACATCATCTATCTCCAGTCTACAATACAGTCCTTTCAGCAGCTCCAAGAAGGCTCCACACCCATTTGTACCTCTCAGGTGACCCTGAGGACACAGATAAACCTCCAAGCAGCCTCAATGACCCTCCAAAAAGGATGCAAATGACCAGCTGTCTGCAAGACATATAAATCCTTCTGACTGAGTGCCAAAGAATTGATGCCTTCGAATTCTGATGCTGGAAAAAGACTCTTGAAAGTCCCTTAAACGGCAAGGAGATCCAATTAGTAGATCCTACAAGAAAATCAACCCTGCCTCTTTTTTGGAAGGACAGATCTTGAACCTGAAGCTCAAGTAATTTGGCCACCAAATGAGAAGACGAGGACTCATTGAAGAAGACCCTGATGTCGGGAAAGATGGAAGGGAAGAAGATGGCCGAGGGATGAGATGGTCAGATGGCCTCATCAACGCAAGGATCTTGAATTTGGGCAAACACCAGGGGAAAGGGGAAGACAGGGGAGCTGGTGCGCTATGGCCCATGAGGGTCAGAAAGAGATGGATGTGATTTAGCGACTGAGCACCAAAAATATAATCTGGAAAATGAGAGCTGAGTAAAGAATATCCAACATCTTTGGCAACCTCTTTAAGGTTTGGTTTCACTTCAGCAGACATTTAACTATTTAAATAAATCAACCAAAGCTTTCCCCAGCCTTCTCTCAGTACTCAAATGATGAATTATTTGGAACCAAACCATGTAGTGTTGGCAAACACCACATCTACATGCTCTTCTTTAGAAAGAGATGGTAAATAAAGTAAGATGAAGACATATGGCAGCTAGCGATAGAACGCATCCCTGGAAAACATAAGGCTCTTTGAATTAATCTAGTTTCCTATGGTGTTGTTCGTCGTGAAGTTGTGTCTGACCCATTGCGACCTCATGGACAATGTTCCTCCAGACCTTTCTGTCCTCTACCATCCCCCAGAGTCCATTTAGGCTCACGCCAACTGCTTCAGTGACGCCATCCAGCCACCTCGTTCTCTGCCGTCCCCTTCCTCTTCCCAGTATTAGGCTCTTCAACAGGGAGTCCTTCCTTCTCATGAGGTGGCCAAAGTCTTTGAGTTTCATCTTCAGGATGTGGCCTTCTACGGAGCAGTCAGGGTTGATCTCCTCCAGGACTGACCGGTTGGATCGCCTTGCAGTCCAAGGGACTCACAGGAGTCTTCTCCAGCACCATAGTTTAAATTCTTTGGTGCTCAGCCTTTCTTATGGTCCAACTTTCACAGCCATGCAACTGGGAAAACCGTAGCCTTGACTATACACGCTTTTGTTGGCAAGGGGATGTCTCTGCTTTTGAGTAGACTGTCTAGATTTGCCATAGCTTTCCTCCCCAGGAGCAAGTTGTCTTTTAATATCTTGGCTGCAGTCCCCAACTGTGGAGATCTTGGAGCCCAGGAAAATAAAATCTGTCATTCCCTCCATTTCTTCCCCATCTATTTGCCAGGAATTGAGAGGGCCAGATGCCATGATCTTAGTTTTCTTAATGTTGAGTTTCAAGCCAACTTTTGCACTCTCCTTCTTCTCCTGCATCAAGAGTTTCCGATAGCAAGAGCTAAATAATGGGGATATGTCTTTTTTCATCCCCAGGATTAGTAAAAAAAAAAAAAATGTAGCTTCCAATATTTGATTTGGAAGAAATGTTTGGAGTGAATGCTGGACAAAAAAATAGTCGCATTGAACTGTTGAGGCACATCAGCAACAATGCTAAGGGTTTATTTATTTATTGTTTATGTATTTATTGTTTATGTATTTATTGTTTATGTATTTATTGTTTATGCATTTTATTTATTTAGTTAGTTAGTTAGTTAGTTAGTTAGTTAGTTAGTTAGTTAGTTAGTTTACATAGTTGCCCCTCTGAAAAACACAAGTCTGGGTAGCTCTCAACCACCATTAAAAATGAGAGAGAAAAATTAAATGCAAAAACACAACCCCGGTGTTTCAGCCTTCCTGAAATGCCTGTTTTTTTTTTCTGCTTTTCCCTATCACTGTCCTATGAAGAACCACAATTCTTCAGACACTGGCGATGGGCTAGAATAGGAAGTGGCTGCTGAGAAATCAGTTGTGATGGGCTATGAAGGACATCCAAAACTATGCCCCTGCCTGTCACTCGTGAAGGTCCAATTAAACTTATCTATTGCTACTCAGGCCTAGGGACAGGAATCTTCTCAACTAAAGGTTAGCATCTACTTGGCGTTAGATAAGGGTCAACAGAATTCAAAGGAGGTTGGGTTTCATTCGCTTGCGACTACTTAGGGATTCTAGGCTAATCCCTCTCTTGACTCTGCCACTCCTTCCCCTACAACTGTGTCAAAGGCGA